AACAAAAGCATGGATGGAGTGTTTGTGTGAACTAATATAAATTCAAAGTAAACATCATTACATAAAACGGTACGGTCTTCTTTTTTTTTTAGTTTTATTCATTTCAAACGGGCCGTAGTTTGCCCACGGCTGGTAAGGCCTTGGCTCTAAAGGTTAATGGTCCCCAGCGCCTTGCAGAAGGACAGCCTCCAGTCCTGACTAGGTTTCCTCCAGTCCTGCAAGTCCCACCAGGTTAACCGTCCGCCTGGCAGAGCAGAGCTCTGATGTCGTCACTGCCAAACCCACCACACTCCCCCACCCTGGTATCTGCCCCCGCCCCGCCCCCAGGGTGCCACCCACTTCCCAGCCTCACCTGCTGTGCTTTGATTGCCCAGGGCTTCCCTGGTGTCCTAACCTCCCCCTGCAGCTCCCACTCCCCGAAAGTCCTAGCCGACTGCCAGCCCTGCCAGCCAACGGTGGCCTTGAAGTGTGAGCAGGACTGGGCCCCTCCAGGCTGCCTCGGCCAGCAGTGGTTTAATGAGTCTCCTGGGGACAGGTCCTGCCTGGCCCGCACTCCCATTGGTGTCCCGCAGCCCCAGACTGAGGGAGCCAGCATGGCCACCAGGGGGCAGGCCTGGGCCCCGGGTCTTCCTGAGCCTTGGGCAACAAGGAAGCTGGCGGGGTGGGAACACTCTCCCCCCCCCCCACCCCAGCCCAGTGTCTCACCCTGGCCTGGAGCCAGGCCTCTTCCCAGGGTTGTTTACCTCTGGGACTGAGTCATCCGCAGCCTCCCGTGGCTCCTCTTCCTGAGCCTCATGGCGGGTGGGGGGACTGAGTGTATAAAGGGGGGAGCACTTCTCTGCTTTGGAGGATAAGGCTTTGACTGCCGCTTCTCTTTGAATAACTACAACCCAAACTGACAGGGCAGGGACCCGACTCCCTCTTCTGCAGGATGAGGGAGAAGAGGGGGCGGAGAGGAGGGGGCTCTTCTTCTTTTAAAAAAAAAATATATATATTTGTATTGATTTCAGAGAAGAAGGGAGAGGGAGAGAGAGATAGAAACACCCATGATGAGAGAGAATCACTGATTGGCTGCCTCCTGCACATCACACCCAGGCATGTACCCAGAGGGGGATCGAACCATGACCTCCTGGTTCATAGCTTGATGCTCAACCACTGAGCCACACCAGCCGGGCTGTTAGTTATCTTGAAGGCTTCAAACAATGTGTGGCACAAAGTAGACACTAAATAAATACTCATGAAAGAACGAATGCGCAGACGAGTCAGGGGCAGCATCAGTGGACAGCCCTGCACCAGCCCTCAGTCTCAGTTCTCGCCCCCCCATCTCCAAAGGGCCTCTAAGAATGGAAAGGCCCAACAAGATCCCTCCTGCCCCTCCAGAACTGGATGCAGCTCTTGGTTTCCCATCAGATGTTCCAAGGACCAGTCCTGCTCGCCCTTCTCACCCTTCGCCAAAGCTGATCCCATCCACCCACTACTTTCTCGTGCGGGGAGAGGTCCTAGGAAGCAGGGTCTCATCTCTGACATCCTCCCCCTGGAGCTGCCCCATGACCTTCCCGCGCACTGGCCTCTCACGGGGGCTGGGCTGCAATGCTCCCTCTGCTGGTTCTCTCTTGAGTGATGCTGGAAAATCCCTTCTGTGGGCCTCAGGCTACTTAACGCTTGCAAAAGTAGGGGACCAGCCTTGCTGATTGCTGAGTCTAAGGCAGGGGTGGGCAAACTTTTTGACTCGAGGGCCACAATGGGCTCTTAAACTGGACCGGAGGGCCGGAACAAAAGCATGGATGGAGTGTTTGTGTGAACTAATATAAATTCAAAGTAAACATCATTACATAAAACGGTACGGTCTTTTACTTGTGGGGTTGTGGGCTCAATCCCCAGTAGAGGGCGTGCAGGAGGCAGCCATTCAATGATTCTCTCTCATCATTGATGTTTCTATCTCTCTCCCTCTCCCTTCCTCTCTGAAATCATTAAAAAAAAAAAGGGGGGGGGAATCTCTGCTCCTCCTTACCCAGCCTGGGTGTCAGCTTTCTCACCACCACACCTACGCCAGGCCTTAGCTTTGTTACTTAATCTTTTTGATTCTGTTTTATCATCATAAAATGGAGATATATACTCTGCGTGTTCTAAGGATTAAAGCACTTAGGCTGGGTCTGGCATATCCTCTGTGCCCCACAGAGGGCAGCTACTGTTATCTGATTTCCACTCCCAGGGCCATGAGGAGGGGGAGGGGCCTGTGCACAGCAGATGCCCAGGAATTGGGGACCGTTCCCTTCCTGCTTGTGGCACTTTATAATTTTTAAGGCAGTCTTGTCATCTTATGTAGTTTTAAACGTGTTTCTATTTCACATTGATGTTTCTCTCCCTCTCCCTTCCCTCTCTCTAAAATCAATAAAAATATATTTTAAAAAATTTTAACACTTTAAAAAATAAATAAACCATAAGCTTCCGTGTCTCACCCAGGTCTCCCTCCCCTGCTAGCCGGCCCGCACGCAGGGAGCGCTCAGCTGCACTGAACTGTTGCTCACTTTGCGCCAGCAGGTCAGGGAGGCCGCCGAGCCAGTGTCCGGGGCAGAGGGTCAGAGCTCAGAACCAGGACGGAGATGCCGGCTCCCACTGCGCCCGCTTCTCCAGCTCACATCTGAGCGTCTCTGAGTCCTCGGCTCCTTCTGCAAAGGAGGGCATTGTAAGGGGCTCGAGTGGGTCCTGAGAGCCGGCTAAGAGCTGTTTCAAATACCAAGGCAACGAGGCCCGAGCTAGGAGCTGGGGCTGCCCCTGATGCCAGGGAAGCAGGGCCTGGTGCGCCCCTCGTCCGCCCTCTGCAAACCCCTCTTGGTTCTGCTGATCGCCACGTTCACTGTGGTCACTTGGAACCACCTCTTGTTCCTCTGGCTCAGGAAGGCGCCCCATGGACCTGTTTTCTCCCCGAGATCCACCCCTCAGGCGCACACGCTGGCGTTGCCAGGACATGTTTGCGACGTGGCCCTGGGGACAGACGGCTCACACCTGCTCTTCCAGCCCCAGCGCCTCTCCTGGCCTCGGGGAGGCCTCGCGGTCTCTGAGCCGGTGTCTAAGGCAGCAGGCGCGCAGGGGCCCGGCCTGGCATATAAGGGGCAGGTCCTTGGAGGGCATCCCCCTTTCACAGACGAGGAAACAGGCCCGGAGGCGAAGGGGCTTGTCCAGGAGGAGTCAGGACAGGGGCGCAGTCTCCTGACTACAGCGAAGGGCCCGTCACCCCTCACGGGTGCTGCAGCACAGGCGGCTGCCTGGGTCACCTTTACCCAGCACCCAGCACCCAGCACCCAGCACAGTGTGAACCCCCGCGTCCCAGGAGGGGAACAGGCCCAGTCACTACGCCCAGATCCCCGATTGCCTGGACCCTCCCACACCTTGTTCGAGGCCATCGGTGTGGGGGCCACTCGGCCTTGGTCACAGGGGTTCGCAGCGCGGCCATCCCAGGGTG